ATGGAATGAGACGGAATGAGACGGAATGGAATCGAATGAGATGAGACGAAGGATAGCACTGGACGTCTTGTCGCCTTTCATCAGAAGATATACAGCTGTACGGAGACCCAAAAAATCAGATAGGAATGATCTCTGCTTTTATGGAATTTAGCTGATTTTTTTGGCGCTTTATAAGCCTCGTACAGTATACTGTAATTTTTTTAAATCCGCAAAAGAATATGGATACACTAATAAAAAGCTAGAGGGCTACAAGCAGAAAAATTTTATCAAACATCGCAGCAAAGTTGAACGAATAAAAATACAACCTGAGCTGTTTTTTTCCGGACAACAACAAGTTACATGGCAGACAAACTCACTGAAAATCACCCGCCTAGATCGGAAAACCACCACAAATCATCTCCCCCACCCCGGCTACCAACCCCCTGCCCCAAAAGTGCACAAACAAGGTCGTAACGGTCTGAGTTTGGGCTGGCTGGAAATGTGCATCACACGGCCCGTGCTGGCAACTGTATCTACGCGTAATCGCCGTCCTGGAAATGCCGCGTCTACCACCCACTCCACTCCAAAATATTTGCATATCGTTTGCCGAATATTGGGCAGCGTCACAATGCTCAGAGCGCGGGCAGTGGACGAGCAATTTACGGGTGGGGGGGGTGAGTAGGTGTATTTCGTAGTTGCATCGTGGTTGTATTGTGATTCAGGGACTCAGGAGGAAATCATGGAATCAATTCAGGCGAAGTTTTGAAATTGAAACTGAATTTGAAAAAGAGCGAACCTTGTAGAATCGAAAAATCTATAAATATAGGGTATTTTCTCTACGCCTAAAACGTATCAAAATTATGTATCCGCTCATTAAAATGCTGAATAATGATATTTATGAGCATGCAGTCGAATTCGAAGTCGAATTTTCAAAATACCGCTTGGTTTGGCAATGAAACGTCGTAAAAAAATAAGGTAGAGGCAATTAAAGCTATTTTCTAACCATCTTTGATGATCTTTAACCAAAAATAAATTTGCTACGACATGCTACCACGTTCTTATCGTTAGACTCTAAGGATTCAGCGGTACCTATCAATAGTTCCAAACAAAAGTAGATATTTTAGAGGCTCATTACTCCGTTATAATGAGGTACAGCCACTATACCACCAATTGAAATCGAATCTCAACCTTGGCCGAGCTATAGCTAGCAGCCCAGGTTAGTTCAAGTGGGTTTGGGGACCAACACCGCCGGTTGGAAGACCAAATTGGGCCCCCATTTTTTACACAAACCAGCACCCAAAAAAATGAAGCGCCGGCGGGCCGCCTTCGGAAGGCAATTTCCTTGATGCAAGTGGTCCCGGAGGGAACGCCGCAGATGAGAAGGATACAGACACAAAAATCCGATTTTCGAGGAAATGGGCTTTTTCAAGGAGCGTCCGCAGGGTTGGATTTTGGGCTCTGGATTCGAAAATTCACGTCAGGTTGTTTTTAAAGACGCATTGAAGCGTAAAATGCTTGAATTCAGAAGCTAAAAAATGCCAGTCATTCTCCGGCTTGCCATTAAAGGTCTGTTGAAGTCAAAATCGGAATGTGTCCACAAGGGTCGGGAAAGCTGGAAGCAAGCAGTTCCACTTTTTAAGCATTAAAAGTCCATTAAAACCAAAATCAGGTTGCATACTCAAGCGTTAGAGAAAGTTGAAAGACAGACCAAAAAAAAATTTACGCATTAAAGGCCCATTCAGCGCAAATGTTGACGAATCTATAGGCTCTAAAAACACCGGAAATCAAAGTAGATTGCTCTTTCGTTTATTCAAGGTATATACAAGAGCCAAAATCCACATCAACCGGTAAAAATCCACTCAAATTATCGCATGTCCCCAAAGAATCTTTGCTAGCTTGCCCTTACGCGCGTTCTCCGACTTCTTCAAAGAGTTCTTGCAAGCCTTCCCCAACTACCGTACTCTTCGATCCATCGGCTCGTTTACCAAAATCCCTCTCTTTAGTGCATGCTACAATGGGTAAAAATTCACTAAATAAGGAAAATGAGCAAGACAAGGGAGAAAACGATCAAACTGAAATAAAGACTTTAACCCTAGGTCTAGAGAATTTCGAGCTTACTTGAACAGAAACGGTCCTATAAGAAATTCTGACTCATTGTTACACTCTATCAAAATCGTCGCGAATTCCCCGAGTTTGATCATCGTCACCGGGTCAAAAAACGCCGACCTCCGGGAGCACCCGCTGGAAATTCGAGGGAGTACGGAAAGATACAGAATACAAACAGAGAGCCCTCGCAACAAACAGTCAAAGGACGACCACAAACAATGGATGATAGAGAAAGAGACAGAGAGAGAGAGAGAGAGAGAGAGAGAGAGAGAGCGACGGAGATGGGCCCAGCCCGGATCGACTTGAAAAGCAGAGCAAAAAAAATCGGGCAGCAAAATGGGCCCCCGACAGACAGGGAGGCGTCGGCCCGCTCCGACTACGAGATGCACCTAAGAACGGTCTTGTTTGGCGAGCTTTGGGGCCGATTTGGCGGATTTTGGGATCATGGATTGGTTTTTTTAGGATGCTTTTTCGTTCCCGAGCTAGCCTATTCATATAAATGTGTTTTCGTGGTTGTTGTATTTTGCAACATTTTGAAGGATAAAAACTCAACATGTCTTAGACAATTTAAATTTCAGAAACGTGAGCTATCGCAATCGTCGACTGCGAAACATAAAGCTTTTTAAATCGGGTTCGGTTAAAAAAAGCAAAGATTAATTTAAAACTTGAGGCGTCAATTAAACGCTATTTAACTAAATGGTTCGAATTATCTTAATATCTTACAATAGACAACAGACGATAGAATAATAATACGCTGGAATTTTTAAAGGGTTGTTGATCGTAAGCGGAAAGGCTTTAGGGACTACAAACTGTCTAATCCCGCTTAACCGCTTATATAACAATTAAGCAAAAATTAGAGAACTGTAAATTAATTGTGGTTGTAAAGCACCTTCCGCTGATCGTATACCTGCTTTTCTAAGGGCCGGAATGCTATTATAACCTCTAAAAATCTATCCAATTCATAAACTCACCCCCCCTTCCCCCGGAACCAAAACAATTTCCCCGAAAACACATCAAGTGGTGGCATCAACCCCATTTGACCGCTCCTTAATCCCTTATCGCCGTTCTGAAAACGGCCTCTTATCAAAACCTGGGGGGCCCTAAATTCCGGGAAAAGCCCTGCCGTAAATCCGAGAACTGGCAGCGAGCAATTTTTGATGTTTCACGGTATTGAGAGGAGAACTGTAAATTGATTGTGGTTGTAAAGCACCTTCCGCTGATCGTATACCTACTTTTCTAAGGGCCGGAATGCTATTATAACCTCTAAAAATCTATCCAATTCATAAACTCACCCCCTTCCCCGGAACCAAAACAATTTCCCCGAAAACACATCAAGTGGTGGCATCAACCCCATTTGACCGCTCCTTAATCCCTTATCGCCGTTCTGAAAACGGCCTCTTATCAAAACCTGGGGGCCCTAAATTCCGGGAAAAGCCCTGCCGTAAATCCGAGAACTGGCAGCGAGCAATTTTTGACGTTTCACGGGGGTATGGTCAGATTCAAGAGGCGGAACAAACGGGACTGACAAGAGATCAACCATAGAAAAAATTCTGAGTTTTCCTGCAAAAAAGGTCATATTTGAAAGGCGACGGCCCGGAAAATAACAAAAGTCTTAAATGGTTTAAAAATAGAATAATTAATCGCGATTTAACAATGTGAATTCAAAGGACAAAAATAGCCTTTGAATGAAAGAAAATCGTAGAATTGAAGTGGTCAAAGGTTTCTCCGAAAAGCTTGAAGCGGTTACGCATCGAAGTAGACAAAACATGAAAGAACATTGCATTCATTCGTGAGGGAAATTCGGAACCCAAACAAGGTTGATTCAGGCTACAAACTATTAAAGACGGATAGCCAGCCGGCTTAAGACGATTTTTGGCCATAAAACTCTGACTTAAAGTTCCTAGGAAGCGCGGTTCGACCCCTTGCCTGGCCTAGGTGTCGACAGCTACGCATTGCGCGAAAACAAATTGATAGCCTTTTTGGTCATTAGGAAAAAGACCATTGAAAAATGTCGAAATCTCGGGTACGGCAGGGAGCGATTTTGGGACGCTGTTGCCTTCGAAACCAGTTTGAAATTTGAAAATTAAGCCTCGAAGAATTTTGATTAACCTGTGCAAAATTAAGTTGAATTCATGTGCCTTCGAAAACTTGAAACTTTGAAAGATTATCGTTTAACCTCAATTTTTGCCATTCTATCTCGATTTTATCGATTGACCTATTCTTCATTGCTCGCTTTTAAAGGTCTAAGCTGTTTGCAATTCTAGAAGAACGAGTATCAGAAAACAAAGTCTTTAAAAAAGAGAAGCCGAAGATTTCTAACCCCCCCAAAAACAGATCTCAAAGAAATACCAGATATCTGTTCCGCTGAATCCTCTAAAACGCGCTGAAGGTCTTTCTGGAAGCACGGCCCGATTTGGCGGATCCGAGTGGGTTTGCCTTTCCGGGAGGAACGACTGCGAAAACGTGAAAAACTGCGGTCTTTAGAGATTTGGAGAGACCGATCACAACATCTGTCACTTCGGCGTGTGTATCCCGGGAAAAATGGGGGTGTACGGCAATAGGATTGAGCCGGAAACGGTTAGTCCCCTGCTGATTTATTGATGGTTGACCAAAAGTTGAAGATTATTTATGCATTTAGAGAATAGTATTTTCCAAAAACGATTAAAGACGGCGTGGCGATCTCGGAAAGACCAAATACGGTTTCAGAAAATGAAAAAATCCTAACAACCAATTAATGGTCTCTGCTTGCTTGCCCGGGGCCTTTTGAAACCCTTTTCGCCTTTCAAATGACCTTTGCTAGTTCGCCCCGTATTTCTCAAGAAATTCTTTAAAAAAAGGAAAAATAAAGTGCGTAATCGGCTTGTAAATTATTACCTTCACCTTGAAAGTATGGATGAGCAATTCGGTAAAGGTCATAATCCCGAGGTCTCGATAGCATCAAATATGAATCTCAAACTCCACTTCATCTTGGAGTCCAGATCCGGGCGTTCTTGAAAATGCTGCGGCATCAAATATCTAAGAAAACTCGATGTTCTGGTGTCGGAATTAGTAATGGCTCGGAAAACCGAGAGTCATAAATGTCAAATGAGTTGGCGGTGCAAAAATAACACATCAGACTGGCTGGTTAGAAAAGAAAACAAGCACAAAAATAGTCCGTACAACCTGGGGCAAGGAACTTATCACATACCCAAAAATTGCCGTAAATTACAGTAATGCAAAACCAAAACATTATAGTGATCTGTTGATCTTTGGAAAGTACCGCACCCCAATTGCTAATATTGAGAAATACTCACTCATCATCGTTTTCCGATTGTGTAGCAACCTCCGACGACCGACGATTCGTGTTGTTGTTATCCGAGTGCACAGAGAGTTCCTAAATTTGCATATCAAAATACCGAGAAAACGAAAATTTCTCAAAAAGTTACAAATGTGTTAAAAAATACCTTTGATCCCTGCGAATCCGAGTCCGTATCGTTATTTACGTATTGGCGGATGATCTCGAAGGTCTGTGGTCCGGAAGCGCGGCTGGTGCGTTCCTAAGAGTTACGTTTCCAAGGTATTCTCTCTCTCTCTTCCGTTTTCTTTGTTTCTTTTCTATGCTGCTCTCCTTGACTAAAATATGTTCAAATATCTATCGATATCTACTCTTCGAGGGCTTTCGATTGGTGTTAACGGTATCGTATGCAAATGCCTGTATGCAGAGATATCTCGCTTGGGAGCTTTCACCCAATTTTCTGCGGAACTTCTGAGGCCTGCATCTTCGCCCAGGTCAGTTTTTGGACGCTTTAAGGGTCGTATTGTGGTAGAGCATCCGAAGATCTACCAAACCATATATCAAACTTACAAATCGGACGTTCCTGCGGGTTTTTTACAGCGGTTTAAAGATTTTGTGCCATTACATTCTTTCCAACCTGATATTCAATTACAGTAACCAACCTCCACAGGCGCCGGACGAACCGAAGTGATCAAGACGGTAGATGAGCCGTTGTTGATTGGCTAGAATAGGCATAGTTATTAACATTAAAGGGACTGTCAAGACAGAAAATTCATCCACGAAAAACATGAAAACACGAAAATACAACTTACAATATTATGCGAAACCAGCGGGCCAGTCGGTCGTCTCTCAATCATCGCCTTGATATGGGAGCTGGTTTCTAAAAAATTGTTTAAAGGTGCTAAGGAGCCTGAAACGTCATCTTTTCTATCGACTAGCTATCGACCGCTACACCACACTCCAAGAGACACCTTTGGGTGCACACCTTTACTCATAATCTTCTTCGCCGTCTTTGAAAAGCTGGCAATCGGCGAGTCGGCGATTTGTGGAGGTGGATTGTCGTCATCCGGGTAATCACAACAGCGCCATCTTCCTCTGGTGTACATCGTAGGCACTTGTACTTTCTGGAAAAGCTACGGTAATCAGACGCCTTCGGAAAACCTATCGTAAACCTCCTTTTGATTGTCTGTGGATTAGCAGAAGCAACAATTTCGACGCTTACATTTCCAAGGTCGGTGACGCCCATTTTAGCAAGTTCTGGACATGAAAAAATTATAATAGAAGCCTTAAATGCATCCAAAAACGGCAAGCGAAAAAAATAGAGAGCGAGAAACAGAGGTAGAGAGAGAGCGAGAGAGAGAGTGAGTGAGAAAGAGTTTGAGAGAGAGAGACGGAGAGAGTTAGAGATATGGAGAGAAAACGATAGAACGAGGGAGATACAGCGATAGATAGGTAGGCAGAGGGAGAAAAAGCGAGAGAGAGAGAGCGAGAGAGAGAGAGCAAGAGAGAGAATCCTATAAAAAATCTTCAAAGATCAATAAATCGCCATCAGTTCGAGGCACTCCCATCGATGCCGATTCGGAAATACCCATTCCGCATCGACGGCGAATAATAGGCTTTTCCCCGACGGGGAGGGAACGGCTAAATTTATGGAATTTTTCCGGCCGCACGAGCATTTGGCCAAAAATTGGCCAGACAAAAGGCGTGACGAAATCCATAAAAACTCACATTCCTTCACACATTAATCCAACTGGTTGTCCAGTTTTTTTGGTTTTATCGTGAATATTTTTAAGGTATGTTTGGTCGTGTGCGCTTTATATGGAAGCAAAAACTGACGCGTTGATCCATGCTGAAAAGCGATGCCTCCGCTCTCTATCGCCAGGATGTAGGGCGGGCGGAAGTCTAATTAAACGTGCTTCACGAAACCAGCATTCGGGGATCCTTTTTCGGCGCATCGCAAGAGCAAATCGACGATTTTTAAGAGTAAAACTAACGTTGCAAATCAATAAGGGGAAAAAACTATTCGAAAAATCTTTTTAAGTGTCTTTCCAAAAGATTAAGCACAAAATAAAGAACCTGCGGACATTAAATGTTGAAATTGTGCTAATGCCCTCCTGATGCTCCCAGTTTCCCACGTCCCCGCTTTTTCGCTTTTCCCAGGGGAGGAGCGGTCGGTCTCTATTGCTGATGGCATGACCAGGGTAAACCGAATTCATGGGTGTGAAAACGCCATAAATATGTTTTTGCAGGGGTGCGCAGGAGCTTTGACTAGAAATTGAAGTTTCAATGCAAAAACTGATGCATAGAGTTAAGCGAGAATGCGAGAGAGTGAGAGAGAGTGAGAGAGAAAGAGAGAGACAGAGAGAGAGACAGACAGAGAGCAGCTGACAGACAGATAGCGAGATAGAAGGACAGGGAGAGCGAGAGAGAGAGAGAGAGAGAGAGAGAGAGAGAGAGAGACGAGAGACAGCAAAAAATGTAAAAATTTTTAAAATAAACGGTCGAAAGGCCAATAAAAAATTCGAAATGTTCAATGTTCGGAAAATTAGAAAAAAACCAAATTTAGAAAACTAGAATATCAAAAATTCGGAATAATTTTCGAAGAGTACTGATGTACGGGACGCAATCAATTCCCCGCCCCCCCTGGCGGTCCACAATGGGATTAAAATGGCAGCGGAAAACATGGAACAATATGGAAAACCCTCGGAAACCCCCCCGCGTGCTGACGGCTTTAATCGAGGTTTCTATTGTCGGGCGCACAAAAGTTTTTACGACACTATCAGCAGCCTTGGGTGTGAAAAACAACGAGTTTTTGAGGTTTGAAAAATGGATTAGCGTAAAACGTAGAAAATATCGTCATCGGCATTTTTGTAAAAAAAAACTTTATAAAAATTGTACGGCAGTTGATAAACGCCTAAAAGTTGAGAACTGTAAAAATGACGAAATTCTTTTTATTTTAATTGTTTAAGCCTTATTTCTCTTTAGTCTTAGATTATTTTGGCAATTCAAATTTATAAAAATTAGGAATCTGGTTTCAATGCAGAGATAATTTTATAAATACTATTCCTTTTGCGAGGATCTAGATTTACCGTTGCTACAGCCGTCTGCTGGATCTGAAAGCGATATCTGCGGTATCGGAGCGAGAGAGAGAGAGAGAGAGAGAGAGAGAGAGAGAGAGAGAGAGAGAGAGAGGAGAGGGAGAGAGTGAGAGCGAGGAAGACGAGCCAGAAGAGATAAAGTCAACCCCACGGGAGATAAATTAGGCACATGTTTACCTCTGGCGGAATGCCCGCTGGCCCAGAGCCCCGGAATGAGCCAAAGTGCAAGGTGTGGCGGCGTTCGAAACCTCGGGATGGCAACAGTTGCCACTAATCGGCATAAAAACAGGACTTGTGACATTTTAAGGGGTTGGTATCAAGTTGATGGCCCGATTTTCAGACGAGTGAGGTTCTCAAAAATGGACGTGAGGGGTCATCGGGGGTTTTTCAAGGGACTGTCAAGCTCCGTAATCACATACATCTGGTGATTCATGGTTAAGATCCATGTTCCATTTGAGATGAAATCAGCGTTTCAGGGACGATGAAGTGTCGGAATCAACTCTCGGCGGTGGCTAGATCTTGACACCACGATGCATTTTCTAAATGATGCTGATGCTGTGATTGTGGTTAAGGTTTAGTTAAGGGAATCTGACGCTAAGGTAAACCCCAACTAGCTTTGATGCGTATATTGGAATCATGCGTACTTGTCGATGCCCAGTTTCTAGTAGGGAGTTGACTTTCGCAATCCCTTTCTCATTAAGGACATCAAATCTTTGCCATTTCCGTTTTTCCAAACTTTGCGCAATAATGAGAAGAAACCCATATATTGGCTCTGCTATAAATACCTTGTTTTTTTATCTCTTTTGCCGGAAGCCAAAAACCGTGATGCGTGATGAAAATTTTGCTGAACCTAAATCTCACGCTTCTCGGCCCATCGTGTAAATCCGTAGTTTCGGAGTGGGCCGTTGTGCCGGACAGCAACCGGGGTGGTAAGGGCCATCCAGAGAGCAAAAAGAAGTGCCGCGTACATCCACTTGTTCTCCCCCCGGGGCCCATAATAATAGCCGTGGCCCCATCATTCTGAAGCAGAGGGCGGCCTTCTATCATCCATCCTCCTCTGCACGACCACCCCCAATTTCTAACGCTCTCCTCCCTGGCTTTTTTGGTAGTTTTCTGTCGTTTCTGGTGCTTTTGCATCCTCTTTTAAGCGCCTTTATCTATCCGTATATATTTTCTAAGTTTTCCTGTTTTTTTTTCTTAATAATCTTAAGTTGCCACGTATTTCGGACCTGATTTTGAGTATTGTTTCTCTATTTTTTTATTTTTCCAGAACTTTTTGTTGTTTGCTTCATTTTTCGGACTTTGGGCTTAGGGCTGGGCTTAGAATTAGGCTTAGGCTTTGGTTTTTGGGCTTTTTATCCATTTTCTACCCTTTCTAGACGTTTCTTTTTTTTCTACATCTTCTGAGCTCTCGTAGTCTCGGGACCGAATTTTTAACCTCTTTTATGTCCTCTTTTTGCGAATATTTCTTTTGTTTTCCTACATTTCCTCAGCACTTCTATCTTTTGGGACCCCAAAAAACCCATCCCCTCACCGACCCCTTGACACGCTATGAATTTTTGTGCGGCCTTGGCAGCGACCACTTCCGGAAAAGTATTTTTTGCACAATCGCTCTTTGTTTGCTCTAAAATTTCATTCGAGTAAATTTCTGGGAACCTTGAATTGGCGATTTTGATGCCCGAATAAAATATTACGCTCTCTCTCTCTCTCTTTCATTCTGTCTCTCTCGCTCTCTCACTTTCTCTCTATTTCTCGCTCTGGCTTTCTCTCGCTGTCTCTCGCTCTCTCTGGCTGCCTTTTTTGTATGGCGTGAAGTCTGAATTTTTCGAAATCCGTGACTGCGTAGCTTTCTCGTTTTCCAGAAACCTCCAATTCTTGCTGATTTGTGTGTGGCTGCTAACGGGCTGCGAGTTTGCCCCTGGTGCGTAAGGGTTACACACAGCGCCCACCATTTTATGATGCATCGTTCTAGGATGGTGGGGCCAGGAGTGGGACTCCCCACCTGGGCCCTGGGACTCCCTAAAGTTCGTTCGCGTCTCTGTCTCTCTCTCTCTCTCTCTCTCTCTCTCTCTCTCTCTTTCTCTCCTTGGCAAAGCGCCTGTTCTTCCCTACCCGTGTGTGTATGTGCCCTCGGGGGGCTACGGATCACTCCGCGCCGTGTTCACACTCACAACACTGCCTCAAACTGATTTCACTTCTTGTTTTTCTGTTTTGGACGCAAGAATATTGAAGAAAAATTTATTAAATGCTTTTCGAAATGTGTTTAGATGTTGGGAAGCTAGCCCACACCCTTGGGGAAATGTGGCTTTCGAGAGGAAAGCACCACTTCCAAACGCCCCTAGCAACGAAGACGTCAGAGAACAGAAATTTCAAAAAGTTCAATATATCTAGAGTATTCTTTTACCTAAACTGCTCTTTATACCATACACTATAACATTAGCGTCCCGATGGTTCCTAAATTGTCTCTGCTAGCTCGCTCCTTCTGAAACAAAAAAAGGGGAAAAAAAAAAATTTTTTTTTTTTTTGGGGGGGGGAAAAAAAAAATTTTCTAATTATAGAATTTTCCACAGATTAAGATGAATGAATTTCAAAAAATAAAATGACGGAAAAAACCAAATTTCGAAAAAGGAAATTGTGACAAATGATTTTCAACAAAATGGATTTTCGACAATTTAATTGCGACATACTGAATTAGCGAATCGGAAAAAAATCCGTACAATTCACCATTTACCGGTCCAGACGACTCTCGGTAAAGGTCTCAAGTGAAGGGGGGAGGTCCTGGGATGAGTCCAATTAGGCATTGCGGACTGGGTGGGTGGGCCCTTCCCGGCCAACAAACAAGGGCCCTAGGGGCCACACCGCACCCCCCAAAAGGTCCACAATTTATTGGAGACCCACCACCGACCACTCGTTTCTTCTCTCGTTTTTTTGTTCTTGACGACCGCTACCGCCCCAAATTCCTTTACCCTCATTTGGGATGCATGCAAAAATACGGAATTTTGATGTGAACTTCGCGATTTCGGTAATTTTTAGAACTTTTTGTATAATATCTCCCGAAATCCATATTAATAAGTTTTTTAGTTTAGTTTTTTCGTTGGATTTTTAAAGGTACTAGGAAGTCAACGATCCATAGCGTTCAGTATCCTCCTGCCTGATCAGATTTCTATACCAAACTTCAGTCCGTTTCTACGGTCTTCTATTCCTTGAAGCATCCCAAACGCGTAATGAACTATATGAAATCGCATACATTCTAATCGAATACTTTTTTCAAGTTTAATTTTTGTAAGTTTATGCGCATTTTTAATTGTATTTTTGGATTTAAATGCGCACATTTTTAAACCAATCGTTTTATGAAGTTTTCATAACATTTTCCATATTTAACTTTGCCCAATCTCGACCGAACGGTGTCAGCACAACGTTGAAAAAACACTTTCGCAATTTCTAGTCTCTTACCCATAAAAACAAGAACTGGCAGTTTTAGTTTCGTATTTCCTGAATTTGGTGGGTTTTGAATTTTGATGCGAAATTTTCCATTGTTTCGTTTGATAGCTATTGTTTTTAGCCATTGACTTTTGTGCGGAATTATATGTTTCAGTAATAATTTAAGAGTCTTACCGTGTGTGCATGTTCGCGTTGGCCACATTCCCCAGCAGTCAACGAGTCAGTCAGCCAGTCAGCATCCGTGTGCCGAACCCATCTGTTAGCCGACAACAAACTGCCCGACGCCGCCGCGCCGAAAAGTGCCCATTT